AAAAGGTTCTAAGACTTCATGATACCATCTACTCATCTGCCTTGGACAACCTACCTCTGAACCTTTTCAAGCAAATACATAATCCTAATTTGTTTAAGTTGCTATATTCAAACTTTTTCTAGCAACTAGCTAGAACATACCATAGCAGCTCCAAGAGATCAGGCCCACACATGGCTTCTGATGTTGACAAGATGAAAGTTGAGATTTGAAAGACATCATTTGTCTAAGACCAAGTACTCATGAGATGATATCCTTCCCTTTATTCCAAGATTACAAAAACCTCCCTCAATACCCATCTGCTTTTCCTTAGTTGATGCTATATTCAGATAGATATTTGGGTTCTCTCCCTCACACCTATTGTAGGGCCTTCCCTAGGGGTACTCACACTCTTTCCATCAATTAGGTGGGTGTGGTGTTATGATTAGATAAATCCTTTCTACCAGACCCTCCAAAGTTGGAGTCTGGGCAGTGATCAGCCTCATTCGTGTCCAAGGGCTGGTCTGCCCATGAGAAAGCATCCATAAAAAACCGTGCATGTCGCTGGGAAGAAAATTCCTGCATGTATGTTGGTTGCCTAATGTGGTCTATGGTGAAAACTGTGGCTTTAACTGAGGTGACCCCACTCAGATAACATTAAAGGCCAGGCTTTACTACAAAAGCACAGTCACAACTTAATTAAGTATTTATGAGCCTAAGCAGGACTGGCATGAATGGATAAAGATGCTACCATCAGCCCCAGGCAAATCAAAGGAGTCCAGTGTCCCCATTCAAGTATGTAAGGATGAACAGTATGTTTAATTGAAGAAAATATTTCTAAACAGAATATAACACCTAAATCTTGTACTTACAGTCTTATATTTTTGAACTCTAAGATCAAGCAAAGATGCTAAACTGTAAAGTTAAATCACACCATCTGTCTGGTACAGGGTCTTGATGAAATGATTTTAATTTATATCTCTTTTCATCCTTATGCATTAGGATTTATTAGGCTGCATTAGGATTTATTAGGCTTTTACTACTGCCAAAGTTTTGATTTCCAAATGTTTTTATATCACTGAAGCTTTCATATCCACCCTCTTATTCTTTAAAATTATGCAAATTTCTTTTACTCAAAGATGATTCATTTTTGCTTTAATGATTCTAAATCCTTTGCCTTTGCTCTATTCTCCATCAGGTACTGTCACTGATAAAGTTCTGTGTAAAGAAAGGGAATTACTAAACATATCTGAACCTTTTTTCCCTATCATCACTGCTTGTATGCCAGTTGTAGGGACATCTGATGTATATTAAATAGAAAGTAATGCAGAGAGAAGATAATTGCAGCTTTCTAATGTATAATAAGGACCTTGTCATGATAGGGAGCAAAAAGATCCAGAAAACCCAGAGTAGTGTCAAAAAGCTTCATGGATAAAGTAAGAATTGGACACTGTTCCTTTTTTTTTTTTTTGGTACTGGGAATCAAACTCAGGACCTTCTGATCTCAAGGAAGGCAGCGGAACCACTGAGCTAAATCCCAGGCCTGTGGACACTGTTTTCTTGTTTGTTTGTTTGTTTTGTGGTACCGAGGATAGAACTCAGGACTTTGCACTTGCTAGGCAGGTGCAGCGCCACTGAGCTACATCCCCGGTCCCCAATTTTTTAATCTAATTTATTCTTTCTTTTTTTTTTTTGGTACCGGGGATTGAACTCAGAACCTTCCTCTTGGGAGGCAGGCGAGGTGCTACTGAGCTAAATCCCCAACCCTTGGCCATTGTTCTTTTTGTTTTGTTTTGTTTTGGTACTGGGGATTGAACTCAGGTCCTTGCACTTGCACAGCAGGTGGCGAAACCACTGAGCTAAATCCCTGGCCCTATTGTTCTTTAAGGACAAGGAGAAGGAAAGAGTTTAAGAAAAAAATATAGAATAATTCAAAAATTGTCACTTCTCCCCACTATTAACCCTGGGCCTTTACAACTTTAATTCCTAGGATGAACATTTGCAAATAATTTTTCTCCTTTTGTTAATCATTACAAAAACCTTTCTAGAAGTAGGAAATCAGATAAGATTTTTTTTATTCAGTTTCAAAAATTTTATCTGAGTCTTTGAAATTATACTTCTCAAGTTACTTTAGGACTTATATTTCAACTACCTCTTAATACAATTTAAAGAAACATATTTGGAGAAATAATGTGACATGTTCACGATCACACAGCAAGATGGGGCAGAGTAAAAACTAGAAGTAAGATCTCCTATTTCGGGCTCTTTCCACTCATGGTGGACTGAGTACCTGGCTCTTTGAGTCTTCCGTATGTCAGATATTTGTCTGAATCTGAATATACAAAACAGCAAGCTGTCAGAATGAATTCTGCTCATGTTGAGGCTGAGGCATGATTCAGTCATCCAGGATGGTTTCTTCCTGCTACTAGAGAAATGTGGAGCACAGAGTACACATGCTGAAACCCACAGAGGCCCTTGATCATGACATCTTCACATGTCTCTGGCATGTGTATTCTGTGGTCTCAAAGGCAGGTAAGCAGCCTATCTATACAACTATACCTCCTGAGGATTTGCTTTAAGCCACTTAGCACCACCACTAGAACCTCCCTGACATAATTGCTGTTAAAAGCCAACGTGCACTGCATGTTCACCTGGCTCCCCTTTCAAGTACCAGCAGTCAGCCTTATACAAACACCATCCCTCTGTTCCCCAGAAGGAAACATCTGGGGACTCTGACATTTTAGGGGTGACATATTAGCCTGCCAGCTACTCCCAAGAATAGGGATACACTCATATGGAACCGTGCCATTTGTTCAACCACCTCACTTTAATTCAAAGGAACTGTTTTCGGCATAACTTTTTCTTTTTCTCCATTAAGAATTTTCATACATTTTATTATACTTTTTTCAAAGCATTATCTTCTAGCTGAAAGAATCAACAGAAAGTCCTTTGCTTCTTCCTGTACCCAGTTTTATGAAAACAATATTCTAGTATCTGAGTACTTAAGGTACTTTGGGACTTTGAGTAAAGACAAGTAGCAAGTTTGGTCACAGACCATTAGAAATCACTTTCAACATCTCTTTGGGAAGAGTGACATGTGAGACTAAATGTGTCTTTGTTAAGAATTGGGATGTTCTAAAAAGTTCTTACTACAAGATCCCTGGGTTCCCTCAAAGCCAGGTTCAATTCACTAGGAAATAAACACTTTTATCAACAAACAGGTTGCATGGCACGAAAAAATATGGGCCATGTGAGTTTGGTGTAGCCATTTACTCAGTAATCTCTGGCAAGCATTTAATCTCAGAGCCTCAGTTCCTGCCTTATAAAATGGGAATTGTAACATCTATAAGTAGTAATGGATTAAAAGTTCCTAGTGGAATTCCTGGGTCAGAATAAACACCCACAAATAGCTATACTGATGAGAATTTTAGAGAAAGGTAGAATTTCTGTGTTTTTTATTCAATTACAGTAACATTCAAGTTGCAAACTTTCACAGATTTGAAAGGACCTTGCATTTTGGTTATTTTATGCTTTACACTGTATATTTGTCTCAAAAGTGTATAAAATTCAGTTCATCAGACTTACAAATAAATCCGACTTACTAACATTCTCCCAAAATAGAACTCTTTCATAAGTTGGAGACTTACTGTATATGGAAAGGAAGCCCAATATCACATTTAGGTTGAAGACCATTCACTACATGTGATGTACCCATTTTGAACACTCTTACATCCTATAGCTGCTCATACTCACCATTTTCTAGTGCTCCTTCTCTGAGGCAGCAGAGCTCTATTTCTAAAGGTGATAACACGCAGTTACAAGATCTTTCTAGTCCCACATCCCTTGCACAGTAAAGACCACTGCCACCAAATGGTCAGCAGATGCGGAGTTAAAGGCAATAAAAACTTTCTCTGGAAATAACCTTACAGACATTAAATTTCCCAGTATAGAGCTCAAGGAAAAATCCTTGACAGGACTTTTGGCTGGCTTTTTTCAGCCTGGTTAGCAGAAGCGTGACTGTTCTCTAGTAAACAAAACATGACTGTGCCATCATTGTGTTGTTAGAAAAACTGGAAGCCATGTACCTGAGCCAATTGGATCTTAGGTCCTTCTTGGAGAGTCAGTGGACCTGGCTCTCAAAGATGTATTGACAGTCCCTACGCCATTTCTAAATTTTAGCAACTAACCTTATCTTTAGTAAAATGTAGATGTTAAGTGTAATGGGCTCTGCCTGTTAGGAAAGAAGCATGCAATTCAATTCAGCAGTGTTGCTAAATCATCTCAGATGCTCTGACAATTACAAAGTTGAAAATACATGTGATCATTTCTGGAGCCAGGAGATATTTAAGGCACTGGGCCCTGAAGGGCAAGGGAAGCAACAGCTATTTTCTACAAAATTTAAAAATCAGGAGTATAGAATACTCTAGAACCATCTTACCACATTATGTCATAGGCTCTGAGATAGGATATTACCCTTGAAGTAAATGAATCAAAGCCAGAATAGACCTCTCACGAGAAAAGACCATTTCTAAGTAGACTGAAGGAAAGTCTTAAAATATCAGCCACAACTATTATAATTTCTCCATATTTTGAATATTTCAAAACATAATTGCATATAGCCTAGTTATCTCCAATTATGTTTCTTTCTAAAAAGAAAAAGGAAAACACTGTGTTTTAACAGCTTTTGCCATTATATTTTTTAAACAGAGTCCATAACCCCCTGTAAGTTGCTAGTGAAAATTGTCCTTTTATAGAATAAGCTATTATTCAAGATACCTGGTTGTATATACGTCTCTTCAAAGACAGTTAATAAAATATGGTAACTCAACAAATATGTGGAGTTAAGAATTTGTTACAACTTACAAATCCATTCATGCTAGGGTTCTTCAAGCAAAAACAAAACCCTTCTCTTAGTCTCAATCAGTTCATTCCCATTATAACCAAGCACTCAAGAATATAGCCTTCCCCATGCAGAGTCAAAAAGAAACCAAACCTGGGAGTCTGAGGACCCCAAGTTCACTCACTTGTCTTCTGCGAAACTTTTTCCAGTAATAATATTCTTCCCCTGGGGTACATAGTTCCAGTATTCTTCTACAATCCCAAGGTAGTATGTTCTGGTAACTGCACCAACCAGCCCAGGTAGACCTAGGAATGTGAAAAGGATGCAGCCAGTTAGCTGCTTCTGAGGCATTTGTGGATGTAACTAGGGCAGGCAGCCTGCACAGGACACAACCTTGTCGGTTCCTCCCCCTCACTCCAAGCTAGTTATAAATAAGGACTAGACAAGGCTTAGCTCCTCCTCCTTAGGTGCCTCAGGGTTGGGACAAAAGCTGACAACTTGTGTAAGCAGAACTAGCTTGATGGGAGAGTTCCTATGATAACAAACTTTTTGCTAGCTTTCTAAGAGATGTTTAAGGCCTATTCCTTTACTAAATAGGCCTGTTTTTGTAAATTTTGGTACTCTGACACGAATCATTCATCTTTCTCAAGAATGGTGGTGTAACAACTTGAACTGATGAGTCTCCCTCCACTTCATTTTTTTCTCCAATCCTATTATAGAACCATATTATAATCAGAAAAGTGGGCTGGCTTTAGTGAACCTCAGGAAATATTCTAAGCACAAAAATGTCCTCTCATCTCTGTCAGGAAAGCAGAGGAAGTGATGTAATCACCCTCTCATTTGTTTTATGAGGCTACATGAAACAATCAAATCACATCATAAAGTTCATAATGATACTGTAAAACCTCACTATTACTACATTAACTCACACACCATCTCCCCCAAATCCTGTCAAATGTCACCAGCAAAACTGAGGAGCTTGACTGTCCAGATCAGCCAAAGCCTGAAACAGTGAGCTGCATTCCTCAGGATGAGTGACAATGACAAAGGAGGAGAGGACCCCTCAGGCACAGGAAGACAAAACGCAGCATGATGTCTTTGGGTAAAAAGGTGAAGGGTGTGCCATTCTTTGTGTTTGGATCTGTGACCTAGAATCTCAGTGGTGAAAGAAACCATATTCCACCATGGAAGAGAGCCAGTCTGATCCCTATGCAGAGTTGCTCCTTAGGAAGCAGCCACAGAGTGACAGAAACAGCTTACTGGGCTTGGGGGTTGGACAGATTTGGGTTTAAATCCAAGCCTTACCACTACCCAATTTCATGACATGGAGGAACCATTTAATCTCTATGAGCCTCCGCTTGTAAAACAAGGCTTGAGGGATTCTTTAAAATTTTAAAAATATGATGCTTGTAATGTGCTTACCACAGCCCCCAGCACATAGCAGATGTTAAGAGTCCTCATCTCTATCCACATCCTTTAAGAGACCCCATACTATCCCATATATATACAGGAGCCTATATATAACCTATGGGCCAAATTGTGTTCCCTCTGACATTCTTCTGCTTTCTTTCTACTTCACTTTCCCAAAGTCTCATCCTCTATGCCTTTCACCCATTTCAAATAAGGCAGTTCTTTTTCTTTAAATTGTAGATACCCTGTAGATGTTCCATAGCGCAGACTCTGAAGTAATATCCATCTTAAAGTATGTACTGAATATTCTGTTTCATACCCAGACTCTTCACATCTTTACTTTTTCTTTTTCTTTCTGTCAAGAACACTGGTGGAATAATTGCCATAGAACACTGTCGCTAAATTAAAATCTACTCTTCAATCTATGAGACTGGAAACTTTCTACGATCATGGTACATTATCAGGCACTATAGAGAACTCATAGGATGGCCCCTAAAAATGGCCTTAAAAAAGCAGGGAGGTAGGAATGTTTGGAATTTGGAAATGCCTCAGACCAAAGAGCTTTTTGCTTATAACCCAGGAAATCAGGCTAATTTGGGCTCATCAAAAGCTTTATCAGAACATGTTCCACCCAAATGCTTTCAGATAGGAGAAGAAGGAAGTATAAATGATACAGGTAAAAAAGAGTTAATTTCCCTACTCAGGATATTGAAAGCACCATTACAACACTGGAGAGGTATCACTCAGCTTCTGATGCAAAGCTAGGTCTGCAGGAAGAAAGACCAGGTTGAAACAACCACAGTTGTTACAACAGATGAAATTAATACATTCATCTCATTTTTAGCAGAGAATGTGGTGATGATGGCAAAAGAGTTTACTATAAACAATAAAGTAGGGTCCCTAGAAAGCTCTCTTAAAGTTTTCCCTACCTTAGGACAATAACGTGGTACTCAACATCTAAATTCCACAACAGCAAAGCAAAGGAAAAACTGCTATATAATAAGGTAGTGTTCTTATACCACTCATTTCTGAAAACACGATGTGATTATCTAGAGTAATATTAACTAATGTTTTCAACTTCTTGGATACTATTCAGACATAAAGCAGGAAAATACCATTTCTTGAGCATCTATTATGTGACATAGCCAGGCCTGCACATTCACTCCATTGTTCCTCAATACACTCACAGGGTTTGAACAATGGTAACTTAATACTACGTGTCAACTGAAGAGAAAGATTAACTTGGATCAAATTATATTTCTCTGCAATGTGGCACAGAATATTTAAATAAAACTTTCATAGGGAGAAGCAAAATCAGATAAATAATATTCTAGGTAGATTTAGCTGAGATATCATTTTTTGTTTTGTGGTTGGGGGGCGGGTTCTGATACTAGGGATTGAACTCAGGACCTTGTGCTAGCAAGGCAGGCACAGTACCACTGAGCTAAATCCCCTGCCCAGCTGAGATATCATTTTAAATAACAATTTAAAATATGAGTGACAAAACTGACTAACCCATCTTGAGACTTTCTGCATTTTTTTTGAGATATGAATTAAATACTCCTTAAAAGACTCTTGATATCCCAAATTCTGACCACAGGCACAGTCAGCCCAACTTTCTTACTGCCCTGCTACAGTAGATAGTAGTTCTCAAACCTCACGGGGTCCCTCAGTTGTTAATGGCACCTCATTATCTCTCATCTGGAGTCTTGCAGCTTCCTAACTGTTCTCACTGGCACCAGAGTGACTTTCCTGAATGCAGATGGAATCAGATCTCTCCACTGCATGAGATTTCTCAGTGATTTCCCATGGCCTTTAGTATCAGGGCTGATGGCCTTGACTTGACCCTCAGGACTGATCCTGACCTGGCTTCTGGGGCTGGGGGCCTCTCCTCATCTCATCCATGCTATAGTGATCATCATTTTGGTCACCAGTGTCCTTCCTCTCCATTTGTGCTCCCATCAGTGCTGTGCATGCCTTTGCATGCACTTATCAAGGGGTACAGGATTCACCTGTTTATCTGTCTGCTTTTCCATACACAAACACTCATCGTTGGCTTCTCATGGGTAGGGACTGGGCTTGTTCATCCCTGTGTTCCTAGTGTCTGATATATCATAGGCACTGTTGAAATGTTGAAACAATGCATGCATGATGCAATAAACAAATGAGTGAATAAATGAATGAACAAATGAGTATTAGGTGTTTATATATGTAAAAGTGCATGTTATATAGCAATTTCTATGCTAATCCCTTTATATGTGGCAAACATAAGTTGAGACTTGGGATATGTATATTATGACAGATCATAGGCATGTACTGTATGAAGTTGAGGTTTAGGCAAAAGGACACCTGTGTGAGGGTGTGTGTGTGTGTGTGTGGTGTGTATGTGTGTGTGATGCTGAAGAGCAAACCCTGGGCTTCACACATGGTAACCATATATTCTACTGCCAATGGGACACTTTTAAAGGCAAAAAAAATAAAAGGATAACATGATTATTGCTTTGAAACAATAATCCTTGGTTACAAAAATTAATAATAAAAGTGGCATCAGCCCAAGGTAATATAGCCAGTTGCTGAGCAGATTTCCCCATAGAAATATTCTTTATGCGAGGTTGTGGTTCTGGCAGAATCTCTTGTGACAGTTCTTATCAGGTGAAAATATACAAGGGCTCTCCCATCACAACCTACCAGCTTTTTTATTTTGGGGGTTGACACTAAAGACCCCATTTTGATTCTGACAACTATCATTTATGCATTATCTCATTTACTTAGTAAAACCATCCTTTCAGGTATGTACCATTTTTATTCCTGTTTTACAGGTTAAGAAGCTAAGGTTTACAAAAGTTAAGGTAATACTTCCCAGTGCCTCACAACTAATAAATGATGGAGTTTTGTGAATCTTCAAAGCCAGCATTCTTGCAGGAGCCAACAGCTGAGGATAAGGGGATCCTAGAGACCACCATTGCCTGCTTTATCTCATATGATACCTATTCTTTATAAAGAAATATGGGTCTGGGCTATTCAATACCTGTTAATTGTAGGAATATCCCCAAAGGCCCCTTCTGCCCAGCCCCCATGCCCCTGACAGTCCAGATAAAAGCCTAATCATTACAGAACCTAAAAAACACCCAAACATACCATTTTATGTCCTAACCCTCCACCCACCCCATAGTCCACCTCCACCAAATTCTTTCTCATCCTCCCAAGTCCTCCTGGGCAGTTCTTCTCCTTGATTCCTGCCACACTCGCACCCTCCTCCTACCCTCCAGCAGTTAATCACTCCTTCCTCTGTATCCTGAACATGCTCATTCTTGGTTATACTGTTGATAGCATATAAGTTACTGTGTCTTACAAATTGTACATTCATTAAAAACAGTGTCACTTTAGGCCTCCAAACCTCTCCTACTACAATTAAAGTCTCAAAGTTTTATTAAAAGAGTTTTCAGATCAGAGTCTGCTCCAACCTTTACTTCTCAGCCTTTGGGCTCTAATCTTTGTGCTCCACTTTTACCAAAAGTTTTGGTCTGCCTAGCTTTTTGCAACTGAATGTCCTTCAGATATATGCGACTGACTTGCCTGGTTGGGGTTTGGGCCTCAGCCCTGTTTCCACAATACTATCTTTTATTTATGCCTCTATGCTAAGGTTTGGATGTAGAACTAGCCTTGCCTCATCTTCGTGCCTGGTGCTGGTTGATTGGACCATTTCTTATTTGGATCAGCAGATTGAAAGATATCTTATTCATCTCTGTGCCTCAGTGGTTAGCAAAAAGCCAGGCATGCAACAGATCTTGAGGGAAAAAAACTAACAACTCTAGGATTTACAATATGTCTGATAGTGTACTGTTTTACATACTTTATCTATTTTATCCGTTTTATGTTATGCAACTATAATACCCTGTAAAGGAGCTATAATAAACTAAGTTTTGGGAAGGTTAATAACT